CGTAATTTTTTTTTTTTTTTTTTTTTAAGTATAAGTTTTAATACCCGAAAATAAAAATTTTTTTTTTTTTATAAAATAATTTGAATATTTAAAAAAAACTAAAGTTAATTAACATTAATAATTTTTTAATTATTTTATAGCATTAAATTATTATAAAAAAAAATTCTACATGTAAAAAAAATTAGTGGAAATTTTTTATATAATTTTTTTGTTAAAAAAATTAAAAAAATTGTTAGCTAACTTTAGTACCATTAAAAAATAATTAATTTGATAGTACTTGACGTAAAAGAAAAAAAAATTGTTTATAATATAAATAAAAAAAAATTTCGTGGGTTCTTGCCAATAGAGCTTGTACAAAAAAATGAAAATAATTATTAATAATTAATAAAAAAACTGCCTAGTTAATTAGGATCTAATTGACAAATTAATTAGTTATTAAAAAACTAAAATTAATTAAAGTGTTATAAATGTAAATTAAACTTACATCTTCTAATTAAGACTAATATTAATTATAATAATAATAAATTATATTGTAAAAAAAAATGGTTTATGTATACAATGTATATATGCATAATCCTGTTGTATTATCATTAAATTAATGAATTATGACTTATGATTTATATATAAATATATTAAATATTATATTTATCAAAAAATCGCTATAATAAATCTATATAAACTTGTTTTAAAAATAACATTTTTTTTTTATTTAGTATAACAATTGTAAATAAATTTTTTTTTTATTACAAAAATTTTCGCGACTTAAACACATGAAAAATAATTAAATTATGATTAAATAAACACAAAAAAAAATTAATCGAATTTTTTTTACAACAATGTAAATAAAGTACAAAAAAGACAAAGTACTTATATACAAACCTAGATGATTTTCACCGTTGCTGAAAAATTGGTCATAGTAAAGCCAACTTCTGGGCACGAAGGAATCTAAAAGTTTGTCTTACAATCCTGGACAGTTAAGGAAGTTCGAGCGTAACTACTGAGTCAAAATAATGTTAAAATTTTTTTTTAATTTTAGCCTTCCCAATATTCGTCAAAATTCTTTATTTTAATTTAAAATAATTTAAACAATTTAATAATTGATGATTTTTACTAATTTAATAAAGTAAAGAAATAAAATGACTTTGGTATTTATTACTTGCCGGAATAAATAAACAGATTTGGCAATAGCGCGGTTGATTGTACCCATAACCTGTAGACGTGGATGAGTGTGTGAGTTAAACATTTCTCTTTCTGTAACTATATTTCTATCCTTTTGTTTTTTCTCAGCTGTTGACGCGATGTTGTCAAATGTTTATTCGAATAAATGGCTGACGATAAACCAGTTACAAACATTAAATTTGACTTTAAATATTTCAACAAATTATATCGGTAATGTATTTATTATTAAATTGTTTTTATATTTTGCAATAATCCAACGTTTTGCGTGTATAGTTTTTTATCCGTTAAAGTTGGGAGGTTAATATTGACAAAAAATAATTAAAATCTCGACAAAACGTTTGTCCGCCATAAGAGCCCGTGTATAAGGAGATAAAATATGTGATTTTTTAAATTTAATATCTAAGTAACTAAACGGTGAATCTTTTTTAAATTTTGGAATTAGATAAATGCCGTATTAATTTATACGTTTACTTAATTTCAAAGCTCAAAGTTGGAAATTATTTTTTACATTAGATTCGCTCGAACCTCCTTAAGCCGCGCAAAGTATTCCACAGTGTAGAAACTGACCATCATACTGGAGCCGATTATTAGAGAGAACCACAGGAAGATATTGCCGATTGCGCTCGACTCTTTTTTTGTTATCAAGACAAGAACGAATCCGAAGATTATTAAGATTCTTATTACAATAAGAAGCATTGAATAATAATAAAAAAAGTTTGTTGAATAGAAACGTGCATATCTAGAGCATAGACCTTTGGAGTTAAATAAAAGAAAATGTAATTGTTGAAATTTTTTGTGATTAAAAATTTTTAAATATATTATTATAAATATAAATTGGTTCATTTTAATCAAAGCGCAAATTTCTGATACATTGGAGGGTAGAATTTTATTGGAAAAAAAGGAATTTAGTAATAAGAGAGTAAAAATAGGGCAAGAATTTATTTTGCGGCAAGAAGATTCTTCGGAACGTCTCCAGCGTTATGCGGTAAGTCTAATTATTTATTTAATTCAATAAAATAACTTTGATTTTAAATAATAATTTTTAGTGCTTGCGCAAAATTTTTCAATGTTAAGTTTCAAATAATGATTCATTTAAAATTTCTTCATAATAAATGAAGAATAATTTTTTTTTTTATTATTTAAAAAAAAATGGGCACTAATTTCGCGCAATAAATAATTTTAATAATTACCTTCATAAATCAAAGTCGGTGCAAACATAAATAAATAAATTAATTATATGTTATATTTATCAAAAAATCGCTTTTTTCATTTAGTATAACAATTTTAAATAAATTTTTTTTGTAATTACAAAAATTTTCGCGACTTAAACACATCAAAAATAATTAAATTATGATTAAATAAACACAAAAAAAAATTAAACGAATTTTTTATACAACAATGTAAATACAGTCAAAAAAGACAAAGAACTTATGTACAAAACTAGATGATTTTCACCGTCGCCGGAAAATTGGTCATAGCAAAGCCAACTTCGTGGCACGAAGAAATCTAAAAGTTCGTCTTTTAATCCTGGACAATTAAGCCGAGCAAAATATTCCATGGTGTAGAAACTGACCATCATACCGGAGCCGGTTATCAAAGAGAACCACAGAAAAATGTTGCCGATTTCGCTCGACTCTTTTTTTGTTATCAAGACAAGAACGAATCCGAAGCCTCCGAAAAATACAAACATTACTGGGTAGAAAAATCGGAACACACATGCTAGTATATACTCATGGATGACTGCCGATGTGAAAAACACGGAAAATGTCGCTATTAACTTGTTTCCTGGAAACAATTTTTCGTACAAGTCTCTGTAGATGTAAGTGTAGAGCCAGTCGTACACCACGATGTTCCAAGTTCGGTAGTATTTGCCGTATGATACTGAAGTCCACCAGTCCTGAAATTAAAAAAAAAATTAGTTTTAGTTTAATGCTGTATATTTTTTAAGATATAAGCTCATCGCGATGTTATGCTCATCGAGACCTTTCATTTGAGTACCCACATGAATTTTTTATATATTTTATATATTTGATATATATGATATTTGTGAAATATATAAAATATATGGAAAAATTTGTGTGGGTACTCAAATGAAAGGTCTTGATAAGTGGAACATCAGGATGAGCTTATATCTTTGAAAATGTCAATAATTAAGAAATTACATTGTATCTTCTCAACTAATGATATTTTTAAAGATATAATCTCATATCAGTATTGTACTCATTAAGACCTTTCATTTGAGTACCTACATGATTTTTTGATATATTTTATATATTTGATATATATGATATTT